CAATTTCAAATTAATATTGAAATGCACAGGTTTAGAATTTTCTACAGTGAAAAGTTTTCGGAACTTCAGTGTTCAAAAAAGTATACAAAAGCTAGACGTTAAGAACGTATCCAATGAGCGAGTAAAGCGAGCATCGGATTGCGAAGCAATCCAAAATGAACTGTGAAAGCAGTTCCCGGGGGTTGGTGAGCGCCAGCGAGCGAAGCCTCCTAGTTATTTTAAATTTTACTATTAATTATTCAGTTTTTCACTCATGTTAAAGATAACATCAGTGATCATTTCTAACTTATAGCTCTATTTGCACAAAATAATAGTATATTGCGCACATTTAAGTATTTAATTATTTTATATTCACTGTTTCCGATAAATTCATTAAAGAACATTGCGTGGTAGCGCGTGCGGTCCACGTCACCAAATTTATACTTTTAACTTGTAGTGTTTTAAACTTGTAGTGACAGTGTTAATACAGTTCTTTCAAATATTAATTTATTCATTAAATTTAAATAATTTTAGCTTTATATGAAAGAAAAAAATTGAAATTATTGAATAAAAAGTAACTTAAATAAAAAATTTCTTTGTTGACCTAGGTAGAAATTGACTTTAAAAATATTTTTTATATATATATATTAGTTGTTTTTAAAGTATAGTCATGAATATGTCCTGATCTTTCTTCAAAGTCTTAAGTTTAGTGATTGTTTCAAAAAAACTAATTTGTAGATGCTGTGTGAGAAAGGTCTTAGTGCGATGGATGTCTCTCATAAGAAAATAATTGCTGAACTGGAAGAAAGGCATGAGAGGGAATTGGATGAATTGATGGCTGACAGAGAGAAAGCTTTAGCCCAAGAAGCACAAGCTACGGCAGTCGGTCAGTCTCTTCTGTTTATTTATTGTGTCGACTCTATAGTTTGTCTTAAGTAAGAACTCCCCTAATCATTCGTCCGTGGCAGTGACTATGGTACCGAGGTATAAACCCCATGTGGCAGAATCCTGGCGACATTGTCGCAGAACATTACAGAGTTAATGCAGAATGATTTTTCTTTTGAAAACTAAAAAAAAAAAAATTTCTACAGAAATTTTCAATGTAAAATTTACATAATATTTGAATCATGCATTTAGATAATCACTTTTCACGCGTTCAATTTGCGTCGATAGTAATGTTATCCGGGGTCCGTTAAGGGACCCTTCACATAATGTCTTTTCATAAAAACGGACAATTCACAGAAAAATTTATTTTTTAATTGGACCCTTCTCAAATTTGTTTATCTTCATTATTGTTTTGTTAATCGAATAAACCCTCTCTGGGAGAGGGAAGGGGGGTTAAGACGGTTCTAGACAAACTAAGTTTCTGTAAGTTTAAATTCCAGATGTAGTATTCTAAGAAAATATTTCTACTTTTACAAACATCGTCTGCACATTCTTAGTAATATTAAATCATAAATTTTTTTTTGTAAATAAATAATAAAGTTAATTAATAGAATATTATGTAAATAAAAATTTCTTTCTGGCAATTTTTTAAATAAAATACTATAAATTTACGAATTGTTTAAGTTTACTTAATGCATAATACATTAAAAGTGATATGTTACTAAGTTGTGTTATTTAAAATATGTCAATTGAAATTATTAAAAATGTGAGTGATTTTGTTTCCATTATTCGTCTGAAATTAATATTCTGTGTTGAGCAGTATAGGCTAAATACCAAATATTGTTATATTGCATCTCTAATTTAATAGTAGCAATTGTTGAGTAGAATCTTGTATCTATTCACAATTTAAAAACTTCTTGAAAAGATTTTTAGCAATTTTTGTAATAACAGGACCCTATTTGCACAAATTCACAAAAGCAGGGCTCGGGTTGAAAGAATGTGACATAATGCTTATTTTATATTCACAATTTATGAATAGTTTAATTCAAAACAGGACCTTTCACAAAATGTTTTGACAGACCTTTGGTTATAATGTAATCTTTTGATTGTATTTTTAGCAGTTGTTGATATTCATGTGGTTTTTAAATATCCCAATATATTTGAAACAATATGGAAAATTGGAATCGTGCATTTGAGTATTTACTTTTTAAGGCAATAATTCTATCAACTTTTTGGCAGTTATTGATATTGATTTCTTCATAGTTTTTAAATCCTATATTTTTTGTACAATATTATTTATTACAACAACCTAATCTCGAAACAATCGATTCGCGCAATTTCATTGTCAATCTTTTTTTTTCGGCAATTACTGTTGAAAATAGGAGCCAGCTTATTAAGTTTCAGATATAGCAGACATCTATTATAACTACAAAACTAAAGTTCTTCAAGAGAAGAACATACTCTATACAAAGTAAAACCTAACTAACTAAATACAAAAACACCCACTTCCTTCTAGCTGAGACACAGCAAGGAGGAAAACACTGCCCATCTATTTGTTTACATTTTCTAACAATTACTGCTACGGATTTCATGATTTTAAATTATGCTTTTTTATTGTAATGATTATTTAAAAAATGCGAAGAAGGAAATAATTCGTGTGTCTCCCCCCCTGCCCCAAGAAAATGCGAGAATATCACCCATAATATTAGAATAAAAAACTATTACAAGTTTAATAGGAAAAAAAATCAGTTTTTTTTTTTTTGTAAAAGCTCTTTTGTTATTTTAAATTTGTAACATATATGTTTGTTATTAAAAGTATCTTACAGAAAGATATTATTAGTACTAGAGAGAAATGCCACAGAGGTTACAAGGAATTTCACTCCTCTTTTCAAAAAATAGTACTACAAACTATGAAGAAAAGTAGTTACTACTACTTCATTACTTGTAGTGCAGGTGGGAGCCAACCTGCATCTCTTTGAAGGATTATCAGTGGCTCTGGATAAATGTACCAGAGTTCCCTTTTCATTTTTGTGCTATTATATTTTTCAAAATTATTATCGTTCTGTATGTGTTTCAAAATGTCTTTTAAATTACTGACAACAAATATGAAAGTAAGTGCAACATTGTAACAAATTTCATTTCCGTCCAAGTAATAGAGATGCAAGAAGATCAAGCTCTACAATTAAAATAGAAGTCAACGTCGATTCCTGAATATTGGAAATTTGTACAAGAATCGAAGTATCCTGAATTAAAAAAGGCTGCTTGTCGAATTATTTCAATACTCTGAACAATGTACTTCCGTGAATCATTTTATTACACTTTAAAATTCGTAAAATCCATGTTATAGTGCTTTTGTTCCACTGACTGAAAATAACAAAACAACTTAACTTTTCTAAAATACAATTAATTTTATCTGAACATTATTAAGAACATCTGATTTAAAGCTAGTTTTGAAACCTTAACTTTGAAATAGCATAACTAAATTTTGTGATGCTCTTTATTTGTATTTTATTTTTCTCACATTTATTTTGCTAGCTTTGGAAGCTGTTAGAAAAGCTCATTCAGATGAATTACAATCCTTCAAAGAAGAATTTGTGATAAAAATGAACAAAAGGTTTGAAACAGAAGCTGTCAAAAAATGCTATGAGTAAGCATAAGTTTATATTTTATTTCCAATATGTTTGTTAAGTATTTATTTGAAATATACCCAGCATTTAACCACCAGATTACATATGTTGAATGCAAATCAGAAACGCTATTTTTTCTAAAAACTTTTTCTAAAGTATAAAAGAAAATTTATTATTGGGTTATATGCATATGCTCCAACAGCTATGGAATTTTCATTGTTTCAGAAAATATTTTTTTCTCATGGTTGCAAAGCATATTAATAAATTAGATTTAAAAGAATTTTGTCTGCCACTACACATAAATTATTTCACAGCTGCCAACTCCACTGGATTTACCAGTAGACTACTGGATTTTGCTGGTTTTGAAAAATCCCTAAATTGAGTAAGTTACCTAAAAAAAAAAATCCCTGTTAAAAAAAAATTATTGCTTACTTGAATATTTAAATAAGTATTGCGAAGACTTAATGAACCGAGCCTGATTGATAGTAATAAGTGTGAAGCTTTTTTTTTATGTAAAATTTTCTGTTCATTTTTATTCAGAACTCTTTTTTTTTAAAATTAATTTTAAAAAAATTTAGCTAACTTTTTTTTCAATTACTTGTTTATTACTATTAAAAATAAGCTAACATGATAACAAAAACATTTCTAATTAATTTAAGGAATAAATGAAAAGCATTGCAGACCATTTATATTGTTATTAAGAGTGATAAAGTTCTCTGATGACTATAAAAATAGTTTAAATTCCCTACATGTAAAATATTAAGTATATTATTCACCAGTTAGCATAGCATTTATATTATTTCATAAATCTAGTGTATTTAATCCTATCTATGTTGGCAGCTATGTTAATGCTAAGGGGAAAAATTTTTTGACGTAGCAAGAAGAATACTGTATACGTAGCAAGAAGAATACTGTATTTTTCGAAGTATACTGTATATAGAATAAATGTCCAAGATTCACTCAAATGTTATATGTTTAAATTTGTTGTATTATGAATGTGTTTAAATTTTACAATTCTACTTTTTAAATTTTATGATTGATGCATTTTAAATGCTCATAATTCACATGCAACCTATCTTGTCTAACAATTTTTTGTATCATCATACTAGCACTTCTAATTAATTATATCAGATTAATTCTTTTACCTTGTTTGGTTATATTCATTCATAATTACTCCAAGGTGCGTAGCGTTAATTTTCTAGCCTTTAAAAAAATATTTTTTCTTTGCTGTGTCAATTGTTGTTCTAAAATATAAAAAAATGCATGATTTTCACTATTTTCTCTGCAATATTTATCAGAAACTAGTTATTTTATCATGATTATGTAAAGTTTTTGAATGAAAATGTTTTTGAATTTTATGTTTATAAACTAAGAACTTTAAAAATTTTTACTTACTTTTTGAACTTAGAATTTTTTTTTATTTTATTACTGCACAGATCCTAATTATGAATTTTTTTATTTTGGAAAATAATAAAAAATATTTTTTGAGTGATTAAAAGGTGGTTATTTTTGTTGTTGAAAAGCCTGGCTGCGCTTTTCAAAATAATAATAAGAGTTTTTCATGTGTGTTTTTTAAGGTCTGACCTGTCGAGTGTTAAGCATGAAATTCTGTCAATGACTGAGAAATACTCTGTGAAGTGTCTGGAAAATGCAACATTGCACGAAAAACTTGAAATAATGAATCACCATTTAAAATCTACGACAACTCAAGTGAGTCAAACCTCTTAAACAGGACTCTGTTCATATATTATACACACTATATTAAGAGGATACACACTTTGCTCTAGCTGTACTAGTTTTAATTGCTGGAAAAACTTAAAGAAATAAGGAAGAGCTTTAACATACTAAATACAAATAATGCTATAGTAAATTAAATATATTTTAGTATAGCTGAAATATCATCTTTAAATATCCCATAGATAGTGCTTTGAGTGGTCACCACTTTTAAAAAATGAATATAAAAAAATAGAATTCCCAGTTTGTAAGGAAAAACTCAAAATTCCCTGCTTCATTCCTGTTATTTTAGGGGATTTTTAAATTCCCTGTATTTTTCCAGGTTTTCTCTATTCTCCCTGTGGAGTGGCAACCCTGTTAAAATGCTACTTTAGACCCTTTCAGTTTTCAATGTAAATATTTCGTAGAAGCAGAATGAATAGAGCATAAAAATATGTATAACACTAAATCTAAAAATATTTTTTATAGTTGTATATTTTTTAATTGCCTATGGGAATTTCATGTAGCCTTTTCTGAGAGGGGGAGAGATAAGTTTTATATAGGTAGCACTACATAATAACTAGAAATTAGCTGCTTTCTCTGGTGGAGGGGGGGGGGAACTTTGTCATTGGAAAAAATGTATATTAGCAATCAAGGAAAGATTGCAGAATAGCAGTTAGTGATGACCAAGTAGAATGGGGTTAAAAATTTGTTTCGACCGTAATATTCTTCACACTAGAGATTTTAATCCAACCTGCAGATAATCAACATTTTCGAATATTTTTCACAATTTTTAATACAGGTCACATCATGCAACCCATGATAAAAAAAAAAAAAAAGATTTCTTTTTTGTTTGAGAAATTAAAAATTGTTTTTGAATCGACATGTCTTTTATTTCAATTCAAAATTCTGGGCTTGAAACTAAGTAACTGATTTCGTTAACCAATGAGTTCATCACTTAATATGCAGTTGACATAAACAAATTAAGACAATATTCAATACATTACTAAATCATTATTTTCCCTTAATATTTACAAAATTTTATTTTTTAACGTATCAGTTTGTTGTTTAAAATGTGTCAGTTTTTCTATTCTAATATTTCCTGATAATTTTACATTTGAATTGTGTTTGCAGTTAGCATAAAGTTGAAAAAAACTTTTTTCTTAATTTTATTATTTATTTATTTTTGTGGTTTTCTAAAAACAATATGTCAAATTAACTAAACTATCACAAAGTATTTTGTAGTATATAACTATTCATTTCGGCTATAATTCATAATGTTTCCATTCTGGGATTTAAAACTATTCACGTTTGTTTGTTAAATATGCTTTTATATTGCTTTACAACTACGCTTAACATGCAATTTTTTTTTGTATTGCTAAATTTTTCTACAGGGTTGTAAAAATACCTTTATTTTTAAGCAATAGTATATTACAATTTCATTACCAATGTATTCTTCAATCATTTTTTTAAAANAATAATAACAGTTTTCATGTGTGTTTTAAGGTCTGACCTGTCGAGTGTTAAGCATGAAATTCTGTCAATGACTGAGAAATACTCTGTGAAGTGTCTGGAAAATGCAACATTGCACGAAAAACTTGAAATAATGAATCACCATTTAAAATCTACTACAACTCAAGTGAGTCAAACCTCTTAAACAGGGCTTGCCTCTGTTCATATATTATACACACTATATTAAGAGGATACACACTTTGCTCTAGCTGTACTAGTTTTAATTACTGGAAAAACTTAAAGAAATAAGGAAGAGCTTTAACATACTAAAAACAAATAATGCTATAGTAAATAAAAAATAGTTTAGTATAGCTGAAATATCATCTTTAAATATCCCATAGATAGTGCTTTGAGTGTTCACCACTTTTAAAAAATGAGTATAAAAAATAGAATTCCCAGTTTGTAAGGAAAAACTCAAAATTTCCTGCATCATCTCCGTTATTTTAGGTGATTTTTAAATTCCCTGTATTTTCCAGGTTTTCTCTATTCTCCCTGTGGAGTGGCAACCCTGTTAAAATGCTATTTTAGACACTTTCAGTTTTCAATGAAAATATATTTCGTAGAAGCAAAATGAATAGAGCATAAAAATATGTATAACACTAAATCTAAAAATATTTTTAATAGCCTATGGTAATTTAATATAGCCTTTTCTGAGAGGACGAGATAAGTTTTATATAGGTAACACTACATAATAACTAGAAACTGCTTTCTCTGGTGGGGGGGGGGACTTTGTCATTGGAAAAAAATGTATGTTAGCAATCAAGGAAAGATTGCAGAATAGCAGTTTGTGATGACCAAATAGAATAGGGTTAAAAATTTGTTTTTACCATAATATTCTTCACACTAGAGATTTTAATCTAACCTGCAAATAATCAACATTTTGGAGTATTTTTCACAACTTTTAATACATCATGCAACCCATGATAAAAAAAAATTTCTTTTTTGTTTGAGAAATTAAAAATTGTTTTTGAATCGACATATCTTTTATTTCAATTCAAAATTCTGGGCTTGAAACTAAGTAACTGATTTCATTAACCAATGACTTCTTCACTTTATATGCAGTTGACATAAACAAATTAAGACAACATTCAATACATTACTAAATCATTATTTTCCCTTAATATTTATAAAATTTTATTTTTTAACGTATCAGTTTGTTGTTTAAAATGTGTCTGCTTTTCTATTCTAATATTTCCTGATAATTTTACATCTGAATTGCGTTTGCAGTTAGCGTAAAGTTGAAAAAAACTTTTTTCTTAATTTATTATTTATTTTTGTGGTTTTCTAAAAACAATATGCCAAATTAACTTAACTATCACAAAGTACTTCGTAGTATATAACTATTCCATTCAGCTATAATTCATAATGTTTCCATTATGGGATTCAAAACTATTCACATTTGTTTGTTAAATATGCTTTTATATTACTTTACAACTACACTTAACATGCAATTTTTTTTTGTATTGCTAAATTTTTCTACAGGGTTGTAAAAATACCTTTATTTTTAAGCAATAGAATATTACAATTTCATTACCAATGTATTCTTCAATCATTTTTTTAAAACTTCATTTCTAATTCTTTGTAATTTAAAAAAAAAAAACATTTAAGATTTAATATTTATAAAATCTCTATATATCTCAAAATATAAAACGTCTTAAATTTATTTTTCCTCAAGGTATTAATTGACTACAACTTATTTTGAGCTATTAAATGTTTGTTTCATTTTCGACCAAAAAATTTTAATTCATAAATTTTTTTAAATTAAAATATGTAGTATTGCATTGCTCAATAAAATATTTATTTTACTTTTTATTCTATAAGCATTATGGTTCATTTAAATGAACCTTTGTACCACGTGGTGTGATAGAAAAATAAAACATTTCCCCCCATCTTTTTTTTGTTGAGAAATCTACTTTTTTATTTGAAGAAAAAATGATTTTTTTTTTAAAAAAGGTATCAGTTTGGTACTCTTTAATGATTTTTAATATGCATTTAATTGCAAATATGTAACTAATCTGTCTTATAAAAAGAATTTAGTATCTAAAATAATATTGTTTATATAAAAATTACTGTAAATAAATAATAATATAAAGTGTTATATAAAATTTTGCTCTATTCTTAGCTTCCATGCAGATTTTTTTTATGGTTAAGATTTATAAAATAAATAGTAGATACTAGTTTACAAGATAAAGGTGTATCAATTGCAATTTTAATTATGTCTAGTGTTTATAAATTTAAAACCAGTTTTGTGTTCTTTATGTATTTCAAAAGATGATTTTCTATTTAAAGAATTTTCCATATAACGAACTTATTATCGAGGTTTAGTGACTTTGCTAAATAGAGGTGTGACTGTATAGATGGATTATGATTGGCTAAATTTTGATTACTCAAATGTATTATTTTAGGTTGTTGAATTATTAGCTAAAAATCAAGAATTACAAGCTCGCTTGACTTCTGTTGGTTATCAGAAACAAGAGGAGGCTATATTATAATTAAATTGCCCATCTTATAAATTAAGGTAATTACTTCTTCTGTTTTACATAATTGAAGAATTTAATGAAAAAAAACATTTTACAGACAAATTTACTTCAGAATATATTTTTCTATCAACAAAATGAGTCGTATTTTACAAATTTTCATGCACTTTCATTAATCTCTTCAATTATCATGTATACTATTAAATGAAAAAGAATGTTTATAAGTTTTATGAATCATTAGTGTAAGTATAGTGCGGCTTTCAGGAGAACTCCTCCAGGCATCAGTATCTATGAGGAAAAGTCACTTTGAATAGGAGTGTGGGGTGAATAGGGTCAGCGTGAGTAAACCAAGCATTACACCCTCATTTGAATATGGTTTCAGCCCGGAGGAGTTCTCTCAAAACCAAACTCATACCTGCCAACATTTTATTTTATAACCGTCGTTTAACAGTTGATCCAATTTTTGGGTTTACGACTGCTATTGTTCAGCCTTGTCATTTTGAATCCAAAACAGAAGACAAGAGAATTCCTCGATCAAGTAGCCTTCTTTGTGGACTTTTTGATGGGACTAACCCGCATTTGCGTTACATTGAGAGGAAGACCACGAGAACCTCCCACGATTAGCCTGTGATCAGTCTACCATTGAGGATATTTCACGTCAGCACTATGGTCGGTGCAAGCCGGGTGCGGAATTCGTATCCACTGGCCATCTCGGCTTTCACCTGCCAACATTGGAGAAACTAAAGAAAACTTTTCTAAATCATTATTTATAATTACTTAAAATATAAACACTCAACATGCTGTAGTACTGGCAATAGCACCATCTGTTGAGGAGTAAGAGAAGTATTTTTGCCATTAGCAGATATTTTATCGCCAAAATTCGTTATCTTTTTTTTAATTTAAATTTCTGCAACAAATACGGAGAAATTTGGGAATATACAAGTAAACAGGAGACTTGGCTGGTATGGAGGTTGATAAAATGAGTACTTAGTAATATTAAATCTTTTTTTTTCTTCAAAATTTCTGTTTAATATTGATATATTATGAAATAATATTGACATATTATGAAATGTATCATTTTTTACAGGACCTACAATGCCAAGATTTTTGCAGATAGTCCACCAAGTGCCTGGCTTGGTGTGTTATATCTCTAAAAACAAAAAATTGTCACAACAAATTTTATCTCATTGTACTTTATTCATTTTCCCTAGTGACTTAATTTCTCACTTATTTTTAATTTAGAATTTTAAGATTGTTTGTGATTAATTAGGATAATTACTACAGTGTTGAATGATTTTGATAAAAGACAGAGGATTTGTCAGCTTTTAAGCTTGTTTATCTCAGGGTTTTCCATAATTTTCACTTCTTCTGTCTATGAAAAAAGAAAAAAAATTCTCATTTTTTATCAAGCTATTAACATTTTTCTCTCTCTCTAAAATGCTACTTATTTGTTTTCATTATTTTTATCATTTGTTTTAATGAAATGCAAGTTTAAGTTTCCAAATATTTAAAGTATAAGAAAATATGTATTATCTTTTATTTTTCACAGCTTGCATACTATTGTAAAATATCTCTGTAGTTCATATCTCTCATTGATGTCTTATTTTATTAAAACATTTTAAGAAGAAATAAAACAGATGCAATTTTCAAAAAAATTAGAGTATACATTTTGCTATTTGCTTAAATAAAATATTCTTTAGCAATAATTTGCAAGTTGTGTAAAAATTTAAAAACATGAATGCAATTATTTTATGTTCTCAATATTTATATGAATTTTCCTACAATGTATTTGGTTAAGGCTTTCATGCAATCAGTACATAACGTTTTAAAATTTTTACTATTACCCTAGTCTTCCATGCAACATCAAAATTCTATTTCTTAATAAACATTAAAATGTTTTTTTCTCTCCCTTATAAATTTGAAGAAAACTCTAAATTTTTTTTAAATATTTTCAAATGACTGAAGGGAAATAATACAATTAGGCATAATCATTATACTTCTCCTTTTACCAGCACTACAGCCAGTTGCTGGTTTTAAACTTTCCATCTATTTACCTCAACCTTTTTTTTGTCTGCCTCTCCCCTTAGACCTATAGAAACTAAATTTTTATACTAAGACTATATAAATATATGCATGCCTTGCTTAGCTGCTGGACTTTATAATTAGTTCCCTAAATTTGTTGTGTTACTCAGAATTGTAGGGTGCGCAAAAAATATAAAGGGCCCACACTAAATAACTTTTGATCTCTCTTCACGTTAAAGGACTTAATTTTAATGATTCGAGGGGGGTGACGTAAAATATGCTAATTAATTAGTACAGACAATATTTTAAGTTATGTAATCAGACACTTTTTCTTTCCTTGATGGATTATAATTTCTGATTCTCAAAATATAGAGTAGCTACAATGTGGGAAATATGGTCCCAATAGTTAAGACAGAAGAGTTCAAAGTTTAGAACCCCTTAATTTCACCATATCTCGAGAACTTTAAGCGTATTGAAAAATGCTTGCATGTAGTTGTAACATTTGTTAATCCGAAGATAATTTCATAAAAAATATAACTTTTAGTAAATATTAATTTGTCTTTCATTTTGGGAATTGTAAGGCAGGCGAACTTTTACATCATTTTAAAGAATGTAAATCCGTTGAATAGTTCCAGAGATATAGAATTTAAAAAAAAAAATTCAATTTCTCAGGCAAGTATTTGACCCTTTTTGCTAAAATTTCAAATTTTTTTTAAAAATGTAAAAATTTGTATACAATTCTAAATTTTGGATTATTATAAAATGATATAATAAAGAATACATATTTACTAACAGTTATTATTATTTTTTTTGAATAAACGAATTTTATTATTGTATACAAAAATCTTTAAATTTTCTCTAAAAAGTTCTCAAGATTAGGGGAAATGCGCAAAAGTAAAAATCAAGAGATCCACACTTTGGACCCCTCTCCTGATCTAACTATTGATACCATATTTTGTGGGTCGGAAATCCTAATTTGTTGCAAAAAAAGGTATGTTTATACAGTAAAAGTATATTTTTGTGTCTGATTTCTTAAATTAAAATATTGCCTGCATATTTGAAGTCACCTCCTCGCGACATTAAGATTGAGTCCTACAATGTGATCATTAGATAAAACGTTATTAAGGGTGGTGCAATTATTTTTTTGCACACTGTACCGTATTCTTAACCGCACCCAAAATTCTTGGAAAAATTGTAAACTGAAATATGGAAATTAATGTGTCGATTAAATGAACTTAATATATTTAACATACACACGTTAAATCAAAAATTAAATAATGTTCTGCAATTATATTTAACACAAAACATTTTTTTAATAAAATTGTTTTATTTTATAAAAAAACTTCCAATCAAGCTAATTCTTGGATACTAATTCGGGACCTGAATTCACAACCAAAAGTAAGATGACTGCCTGTCTACTGTTTTATTAAATGATTTTTCAAATTTTTTTTAAATTTATTTAGAATTTAAACCTGAAATCTTAGTAGATATAGTTTGTTTACACTTTAATTCAATGGATAATATGTATTCTTTTGCAGAGTTGCATAACAAAAAACAAATGCCAAATTGACATGTATGCTCAAATTTAGTAATTACATACTTTCATTATTTTTATGCCTGGAAATTCATTTATAAATGTATTAATTATAGATTCTATTGTTTGTCATAATTTTGTTAGTTGTATCTATAGTAACCAAATAGTGTTGCAAACTTATTCTGTTTGTAAAGTCAGTATGCATTTTTTATTATATTTTTTAAACTGTAGAATATTTGTAAAATATGTACAGTTCAAATTTTTACTCTAGCAATAATGAAAGTTTATTTTTAAGTGTAGCAGTTGTTACAAAATGTTTTGTTGGTTGTATATAGATGTTAAGTACAAAGCTATAATAAAAGACTTTATTCAATCTAAGTTAACACCGGTTTTTTAAAGTTATTCAATTTCGCCTGGACTGACTCATTCTCATGCATAGGGGAAAGGATGATGAAAGCGATAAATTTTAAAAATCAGATGACAAAATCAAATCAATAATTGTATTCATATTCATAGAATGACTCGTGTGTAAGGAACTATAAAATTTTGAAATTCTTACTATCGTAATTAACCAAACAAAAAGGTATTGGATCGAAGTTTTTCAATTTTCAGGGTTATCACGGAAAAAGAACAAAATGTTTTCAATAATATGACTAAAATATTATTCAATGACGTAATTGTTATATACAATGATCCATTTAGTCAAGTGGCTAGCAAATATGATAATTTTTATATAAACGTTATTGTTTTAGCACTACATTTTTATATTAAAAAAATTAGTATGTTTGCAGAAAATTAAATACTTTTAATGACTAGAATTCATTAAAAAAAACATACTTTATCCAAAATTTTTTCCCTTGTATCAATAATTGATTTAGCAAATATATATTGTGAAAAGTGATTACTGAAATTCGAAGTTTACACATCATAATATCTTATTAAAAATTTGTTTTTTTAAAATCCTGCACAACTTCGTAGCAATAAAATGTGATCAAGAAACAAAATAGACTTACAACGGAATCTGTGCAAATGGAACAAATTAAAAAGTTATGACTCAAATTTGCAATTCAAAATTTTTTATTTTTATAAAAAAAAAAATCATTCTGTTGGGGGCTGCAGGTTATCAACCCAACTTATGCTAAAAAACATTGCTAGGAGTACGGAAAAGTCTCCCAATTGTCACGGGCACCTATTTGCAACTTTTCCTGAAAATAGGTGCCCGTGGTAACCCTGATTTTTAAAATCTGCATAGCAGAAAATGTGAGGTTCTGATCACACAAAGATAAAAAAATATTTTTTATTGGAGACCATAACCAACTTTAAAATTTAGTGAAATTAATAACTTTTGACCTAATGATGCAAAACTGCAATCTCCTTAAAAAACGATTCTACTTAAATAATTACACTAGAATCTTGTTTTAGCAAATTCCTAGGGATTGAAGTACTACATAATAATGAAAATTCATTGTACCGATATTACGAATTTCAACATTAACAAAATTATTTTGTTGCATTGGAATATTTCACATAAAAAAAATAATAAATATTACATTTAATAACAATTTCCATCCATTTGTACTCTACATTTAGAAAATATGAAATCAATGTTTTAAAAGCTCACAAAAACAATTAAATTAAAAGGAACAATGGATTTATTATCACTTACCTATCAGAAATGATGTAATCCGGAATTTTTTTTCGAAACCACTCATTTTGGAAATCCACATGAATGTTTACTTCTTCAAACATAAATGGATTGATGTTTTGTCTTTTCAAAGTGGTCCCTTCCGAGTGATTCGTCTTTCTTAAAATGTCCTTTTCTTATCTGAAACTTCTTTTTATTTTGAAGATACAAAAATATTTGAATTCTGAGATGGATGTGTACATTGGAAAAATGCTTTGATCAAGAGAACTGTTGCTTATTTTCACCTTCGACAAATCGGATTACGAATTTCGTAATAATCGGTATTTTTAATTCACTGTTCCTATGGAGGTTAGGAAATTTTTGGTTTACACATAGAAATTTTCGCTAAAACAGATTTGACTGTAGGGAAAATGACACTTTAAAGTTACTAAAATATGAATATTTAGCCAGTAGGTAGACTAAATCATCTTTAGTAATCTGGTCATTAACCGCCGCGCTACTTTGGACTTAATGTCGAGAAAACCCAGTACAATGTGGACAACTGACAGTGCGTTACCGATTGTTGAAGTCACACCGCTCAGATTTACTGAAGCAAATACATCTCACACAGCTCCTTTTAATGTAAATGGTACATTTTACAATAGGTAAAATAATACATTACAAAACGAAACTTTTTATTTCATTGTTATCCTCTGAGAGACTCAAAATAAGTGTCTTATGCAATTTACAGGAACAATGTAGTGATCACGTGGATGTGTGATTATGCTCATAGATTTTTCTTTTCGATTCATTCTACCTTTTTGGGGATGTTCCAAATTTAAAAAAAAGTTAAACCGTAAATCTAGATTAATTTTTTACTTACTTTTTGCGTTGCTTCGTCGAATTATTTTGAAACACACAATTACTAACAATGAGAAACACGCAAGAATACATCAGATCGCGTTGCAAGATCCCATCCGACCAAAGACTCCCCGTGTAGTAAATAGTGACTGGTGCACGTTAAATTTGTCGAGTCTCAAAATCCTCCATGTTCCCAGAACAAATCAATACCTCTGGGGGTACTGATCCAGGAGTTTCCTTGTCTTCTGGATTGGATTCAAAATGACAAGGCTACGGAGTTGAACATTAGTAGCTGTAAACCCACAAATTGGGTTGGCTGTTCAACGACGGATATAAAAACTAAATGAATGTGACAGAGTGATGAGAAAAAGACGGTTACCTAACAAATACAAGAAGTGCTATTGCTCCGTTTGGAATTCATCGATGTAAAATAAACAAAGCGCTATCTCGCCGCTTAGAATTTCGAGACATAAAATAAATTTTCAATACCCCCTGGGACTAAAAACGGTTAAGGAACCTAAGAAGAATGTCATATTTTACTAAAGCGCTTCTTAAAAAGATTTTACAGAGAAGTAAAATACCTGCACAAAATCTCCGCTTGCTGCCAAGCTATAAAAAAATTTCCAGGCATAATTTTCCTATGCAGGCCAGTTTTCGACTGTTTGATTTGAGAAAAATTGCACATTTTAATGGATTTTAGTGGAACACATATACCAAAATTTTTTGTTCAAGAATCATTGTAAAATGGTTAGGCTGATCCTTCAACATAAGACGAGGATTCACTTATGTAGGATTTTTTTTTCGTGGAACTGTCTTCTCAAGTTCATACTTTCCTGACTTACCAAAGTCAAAATTTTTTATGGTTTTCCATCGAGGGACCAACATAATCTTGATGACAATCATCAATAATTCCATCATGAACCATTATATTTTTTGATGGTAACCAACACAAGTAACCATCACCTCAATGTAGGAATTGGAACTGATTCATGATGGTCCAACATAAAATAGCAACTTGTTTCGATGGTTTGTTCGTGTTAAACCATCAGAAATTTCCATCATAGTTTCTTAGAAATCAAATGTTGGATTGATCATGAACAACCATCAACTCAAAGTAGGAATTCAGACTGATTTATGATAGACTAACATAAAAAGGGGACGAATCGGAATTGTTTTGATGGTATATTCCTGTTGAAACAACATTAAGCCATCATATAAATGCATTCTTGGACCATCACGAATTTCCATCGTAATATCTTAGAACAATCATGAACAACCATCATCTCAATGTAGGAATTCGGACTGATTTATGATAGTTCTACATAAAAAAAACCAAATTGTTTTGATGGTATATTCCCGAGAACCAATAAGAATTCCTATTAAACTATCATTGATATGTATAGCTGGAACCATCATGGATTGTTGGTTCATGAGAATCAAACTTCTCTTGATGGTTAACCATCATAGTGCTAAAGTAGCATTTTCCATCATGGAATGATGGAAGTTTGTTGGCATATTAAAAACCATGAACACATAATGGAAAATGTTGGATGATGGGGACCATCAAAAAATTTGACTTGGGTAATAGATACTTATCGTGCTGTAAAAGCTATAAAGGTGAGGTGACATACTGACGGATATACGATAGTTGAAACAGAAAATATTAAATTAAGTTGAATACATACGAATTCAACTTCTCAAATGTATTAAAAATTCATTGCTACATAGAAGAGAGCTAGATTATCAATGCTCTCTACAATTAAATTAAAACTCCAGAAAGATAAAATTTATCTTAATTAATCACAATGTGAATAGGAAATCCATTCACAAAAGCAAGAATCCTCCATAAAATTATTTCGACATTATGAAGAAAAAGTCTGCATGATTTTAAGGAATCACTGTCAAAAAGACAATTGTTAATATTTGAACTAAAAAGTTAAAAGCACGTGTAACAATAGTAAACCATCAGTTCCAAGTTATTGTTAACCAACTGAATTGAACTTTAAAAGAGAATAAGTAAATTTTTGAACAATAGCTTCAACAACATACCTGCCAACAATGGAGAAATAAAATAACGGAGATTTTACTAGCGACACTTTTTCAGGCAACGAGTAAAGTTTTGATTCATCATGCATAATCGTGTAAGTCAAAATTGTAAATAATGAAAGCACTTACATTCAACGAAGTAAGAAATATGTATGGTAATCAAAAGAAGATTTTTAAACCATTACTTAAATTATAAACACTCAACATACTGCAGTACTGGCAATAGTACCATCTGTTGAGTATTTTTGCCATTTGCAGACATGTTATCAAAATTTTTTTTAAAAGTACTTCAACAAATACGGAGAAATTTGAAAATATACGGGTAATACAGGAGTTTTCATTAAAAAACAGGAGACTTGGCAGGTATGCAACAACCTAAAACACCACAGCTTTCCTCTATCAAGTATTTATACAAAATCATGCCAAATTAAAATTACTTTTACCTTATCTGAGTTTCAATAAAGCATTTCTTATGCGAAACTTGACAGCTCCTGGTATGTGCGTAACGTAATTTTATTAAAATATGTCCGCTCGACAAAGAATGCCTAAATAAGAATTAAACACTTTAATCGTCTAAATATTAAATTACTTTAAGGAAAAGGCATACTATCTATTGTTGTTTGAGGCAAAGTCTACAATAATATATTAAGTTCTAGCACAGTGTAGGTAGTCAAATCTCTCAAAAATATTTTTAAGCACTATATAGATTAACAAAATGCAAAATAATTTTCAAAGACTTTAGATGAGCATGACAAAATATCTAGTTTCTGACAAAGAACTCGTTTTTTGATTTGATATCAGAGGGTGGAAAATGAAGCTTGAAATTGAGAATAACTTGTAAAATGCAGCAGATTTGCAAGTGAGATTGCTAGAATCTCACCGAACCCATCTCAATAGACGCACATGCGGACTCGCAAGTACTTCACGAAACCTGTAAAATGATGGACGCTTTCATACGCTATGGACTAACGATACGCCGAAATTTGTGGTTGAATGAGTCGCAAAAACGTCGAATAGAACAAAGCGAAAAGCTCGCTTTTGCATATACGTAACGAAAATCGATATGGTAAAGGGGGGAAAATCTCATTTTCGAAAAGGGAAAAATTAAGCCCTTTGTAAAAACACCCAATGAAAAAGGCACCTTTAAGGGCTTTTAAATATCGAAAATAAGCACTTTTTAAAAACGCTACGCATCATGGAGTACAAATACTTATTACAGATTTTGAATCGGATAAATCTGACTTTAGATTTAATTATATATTTAGTATTAACAATAAATTGTAGACCAAGTCATAGCTGCTACTGAATTTCCCTGTAAACAACTGGATTTTGCCGGTTTTTACTGGTTTAATTAAAATTTTCCTAGTTTTTGTACATTTTAGAAATTATCTAGAATTTCCTACCAAAGTCCCGATTGAAATAGAATTTTTTGTACAGATTATTGCTTGCTTGAATATTTAAATAAATTTTACTAATACATAATGAAGCGAACCTCATTTATAGAAATCAGTTCAAATTTTTTCATTCTAAAATGTTCAAATTATTTTTATTCAGAAGTTTTAAATTAATTAACAAAAATCTTTTAACTATCTTTGATGAATTAAATGCCTATTACTATTCAAATTATGAGTAAACATAATACATAACATTTCAAGTATGTTTAATGTCAATCATAACAGGAAAATAGTGCAGTTTTTCTATATTTGACTAAACATATTTGAAATGTTATGTATTATGTTTCCTCGTAATTTCGAATATTAATAGGCATTTAATTCATCAAAGATAGTTAAATGATTTTTGTTAATTAATTTAAAAAGAGAGTTCTGAATAAACTGTATGTTTCAGAACAAAAAGAACTAAACTAATTTCTATAAATGAGGTTCGCTTCACTGTGTATTAATAATTAGTTTTTATTTGAATATTCAAGCAATAATGTGTACAAAAATTTTATTTCAATAGGGATTTTTTTAGGAAACTTACTCAATTTCAGGGAATTTCCTAAAATGTACAAAAACCAGGAGAATTTTAATTAAACAAGTAGACTAGAAGAAACCTGCAAAATCTGGTAGAGTTGGTAGCTACGAATGCATATTTTTAATTTTATGATTTCAATTGTAATTGCTGAACAATGTCAAAACATCAAATTTGTTTTGTTTTTTTCTTCTCAGAATCAGCTTTTATAGATATAAACCATTTTTCTCCCTCGCTTTCAATCGGTTTTATGTTCCGCATACCAATGATCCAGAAACATAAATTGCTTTTGTTCCATGCAGTTTTTAATCAATTTAATATCTTTCTGTGACATGCCCTTCTAATATTAATATTTTCCTGCATTTAAAGTAACAGAAGCGTCAACTTCAAAAAAATAAAAACTTTTAGGTTAAAATAAAATAAATTTTTTATTGGAATATGTAATATTTCTTTTTTAATTCTAATATTACAGCCGATATTCTCGCATTTTGTAATACACTTATTATTTCCTTTTTCGATTTCATAAATAGTCATCACATTAATAAAAAAATAATGAAGCCCGTACCGCAGCAGTAACTACCGGGGAAAAAAATCAATGGTGAAATCATGCTTGTCGGGATCTTCGAAAAAGTGTTACCAAATGTGTGTTTTCATTTCGAGATTCAGTTGTTATAACAAACAATATTGTACTAAAAATATAAGATTTTAAAAACTATGTGGATATCAATAATAACTACATAAAAAAAATAGAAAGAAAATTGCTGCAAGAAAGAAAATCAAAATTTTTTACTTCTCAAAGGAAAAATCTTTCTGCAAGTAATTGTTTGGCACCTTCCACTCACTAAAAGCATTTCTAACAAATACTGTTCACCACCATTCAAGAACATTAAAAAAAAATAAAACATTCAAGTAAAGTTACAGACCAAATATATATACATTTAATTTGTATGAAACGATTTACAAAATTACAATTAACTGAAAAGAAGTGATTCAAGAACACATTATGATACAGAGTCTCTCATTCGCCTGAGAGTCGAGTGCATTTGCGGAGGGGCCATCTGTATACAATCCTTCTTCTCCTTTAAGTAGAAAAAAAACAAAACAACGATTTCTAACAAACCACAATGATTCCACAAATAAAAATTACAGTCAAACATGTACAAAAAATAAATTATAAACTATATTCAGAGTTGGCAAGGCTTAGGAAAGAATGGATTCATTCACGGTTTAAACCAGGGTTTGTTGATTTAAATCACGATTTAAATCATGATTTAAATCAAATGATTTTTTTAAAAAAATCATTGATTTAAATCAAAAAAAATTTTTTAAGCTATNTATATTCAGAGTTGGCAAGGTTTAGGAAAGAATAGATTCATTCACGGTTTAAACCGTCCTGTCCAAAACCCTTTTATTCAAATTATGTCACAAGTTAAAAAAATATTGTGAAAAATAAAAGGTTAATCTTTGGACAAGAAACAGACAAGTTTTTTTTTTAATTAAAAAAGTTTATTTTTAGTATTGCATTGATTTATATTTATGCAAAAATATAATTAATCAAGGTTTTGGACACTTTAAGATAGTAAAACCCACGTGTCATGTCCAAAACTTCAACCCCGACTATATTAATCTACATTAAGTATTGTTTTGAAATTTATCCCACAGGGTGCGTAGCCAGATTTTTCAACAAAAAATAAACAACTTTTAATTACTCTTTAAGCACTCAAAAAATATTTATAATCACTTTCCAAAAAAAATAATCACTAATGATTATTAAATAATTCTTATTACTTTACAGATCCTAAGATCTGTGAAGTAATAAGAATTATTTTTTTCGCCATCGCTTAAAGTTCTTAATTTATAAACATGAAATCAATAAAATTCAGAAACATTTTCAAAAACTGTACATAATCATGATGAAATAACTAGTTTCGGATAAATATTGCTGTGAAAATCATGCCATTTTTTGTAATTTAGAATGACATTCGATACAGAAAAGAAAAAATCTCATTTTAAAAGAGAGATAATTAAGCACTTTTTACAAACCCTGAATAAAAAAAGCACCTTTAAGGGCTATAAAAAATGTAAATTAAAAATAAGGACCTTTAAGCACTTTTTAAAAACGTTATGCATCCTGACCCCATCTGAATAGGGAATCACGGACAACTCACTATAGTCAAAATTTACCCCTGTAAAGTAATTCTCTCTGCTACATATCACTTTCAAGGGGATGTAAGACACTCATTCCCACAATATTGGTACTTAACATCCTTAGTACTGAAGCAGTTTTAATAATCACCAAATATACAGGTATAGGACAAAATAATAGGAACACTTGTGAAAGAATGGAGTCGTTCTCGACCGTCCAATAAGCGGTGGGCACCTGTCGCAAGAATGTGCCACCTAGCGGTGATGAAAGGCAAGGTATCTGTCTAGCATTTGGCAGTGTGAGATTGCATGAGAAAAATCTGTTTCTAGCAAAATGTGATTATGTCCGACCTTAAAAGAGGCATGCTAATCGGAGCTCGCCTGGCTGGAGCGTCCGTGTCCAGAACAGCGAACCTTGTAGGTGTTTCAAGGACCACTGTATCAAGAACTCTGTCGGCACACACAAAGTTGGGTAAAGTGTCTTCGGCGAGGCACAACAGCGGCAGGAAGTCGAAGTTGTCAGACCGTGATAGACGGGTGTTGAAGAGGATAGTCGCTCGAAAACGCAAGACTACACTGCCGGTGATAACATCCGAGATGAAGACCCACCTTCAGAACCCTGTATCCATGAAAACTATTCAACGGGAGTTGCATGCTGCTAACATTCATGGCAGAGTAGCTATTCCAAAACCGTTAGTTTCAGCGCGGAATGCTTTGAAGAGACTACAGTGGTGCCAAGACCACCTAAAATGGACACAACTGCAATGGGAACAAGTCATCTGGTCTGATGAATCCTCTTTTACACTATTCCAGACCACCGGACGTGT